CAGGCTATAAAGAAAGAGGAAGGCCACGCAAAAGGTGGATCGAGGGTGTCAAGGAAACCCTAAGAAAACATAAGAACACAACTGAAAAAGCAGCGAAGCTACCCTACCATAGAAAACTGCATCTCACCTCGACGCTTAACGGCAACAGAGGATGAAAAAGTAAAAATAAAGTAAAGTACTATATTTCCAAAGTTCAATGGTTATTTTCACCTTTTCTTCATCTTTCCAGATGGAGACGCGGAGAACTTGTGTTATACGTGTGTGTGTGTGTGTGTGTGTGTGTGTGTGTGTGTGTGTGTGTGTGTGTGTGTGTGTGTGTGTGTGTGTGTGTGTGTGTTTAGGGGTGGTGGTGGTGGGGGTGTAGGTTTGAAACGGAAAAGTAAATACCCAAGTCCTGAGGAGGTACAAAAGGAATTCAATTTACATAGGAAGGAGAAATGTAGTTAGGAGGCGGCAGGAAAGATAGAAATAATAATGATAGAGAGACAGAATAGGAAAGAAAGAAGTACATTACACATGCGCTAAGGTGGCTTTAGACTTTAGGAGCTCAGACACCTCACGAAAGATGTTACCCGAAGAACGATTCTAAAGACAAAGACGGATCATAGGGTCGACGCAGTTTATGATGAAGAGAGAAGTAATCAGGAGAACGCCTCTCCTCGTGATTTACCAATGGTAAAGTTACTTCGATTTAGTCAGAAATTTAGAGAAGCGACTTTGGCCATTTTTGATATGTGTTTGTTTTTGTACATCGCGGTCAGTGGGCGTTAGACGGCTGGTGTTGTCTGCCATGGACAAGGGCGGTGTTTTAACTGGGCAAGACCGGCGGGGCCGGTCAGATTTTTGTCAACTGAACTGTTGACTAGAGGTTTATTGCTGATGACGATTTTCATTCAGTTTTAATTAAATCCAAACAAACATGAATCAACATTCAAAAACACCTTGCCAATTTGAAGGCGCTCAAATAGACAAGTCGGATTCACTGCTGTTTTGTCGCGACATAACCTCATTCCTTCACGTTTGTTATC